AAAAAACTCAATTTTTGTTCTTTTCTTTAACCATTGGTCTTATTCTTTTCCTGTTTAAGAAATACAAGTACTTATTTCAGGTTTGGAACCGATATTAACACGGTTTTTGATTGTACGCGAACTTGCTGTTTCGCATAATCGACCTCAAATCGCATCCGATGGCGGGCTTAATTCATAAGAAAAATCCTCGATTTCTTTGAAGATCTTTCGCAGCTACCCTGCGAGCAGATTCGCTTCGACCTTATTCGCAGCTCAAAGTATTGTGACTGGTTGTCCAAACACCCGCGTAGGACTACGAGAACTTAATCTAGCGGCGCCGACTCGCATAAAGCAGACTAGTTTTCGTCTTGGGCAAACTTTTTTTAAAAAAAAAAAACCTAAACTTTATCGGTTTCAATTAGGCGACTAGGAGTTCACAAGCTAGAGTGGCTCAATTCAGAGGGTGACAAAGGGTTCTTGGGTGACGCATGATCGCCCCAAAATTATCAGCGTGACCCGTAAATTGGAACAAATTAGCCTCGTGACCCTGGAGAGGACATCATAACGTAATGCGTGATTTGCTATTTTACAAGCAAGTAATGCGTAATTTGCCAATTAGATTTCCGTGATAAGTGAACGTTCTTTGAACTACAACTGATACCATTTATTCAAAGTAAACAGTAAATAGAACCTTAAAGAGATCAATAAATCGTGGGCCTCTGATGTCTTTGATCTTCGTGGATCTTCATGGTACTATGGGTCCAAACAATTGTGACAGAATGAGAATAAGTCAATTGAAAACAGTTAAACTTTGTACCAAGACTATGAGCTTAAGAGTTAGTTTTGTCCATTTTGTCGACCGATCATTTTTGGCAGTGCATCAGACCATATCGGAAAACGGCAATCAATCATCCAATCAATCACTCACTCACTCAATCAAGAAATCACTCACTCATTCGATTAATCAATCATCGTATGAAAGGTCTGAAAGAATGTCGTCTCAAACCCGGGGGGTCCGAAACGGCTGAAAAGAAAAGAGGCGTTAGAGTTTGGTGTCATTTTATGCCGCTCGAGAAGACAGTGATAGGCTGCACAAGGAAAAAGTTTATGAACCACTTAATGAAGGTCGTCGTAAAGACCTAACTGAATTCAAAAGCCACGTTATGTCATCCACAGACNTGGGCTTCTGATGTCTTTGATCTTCGTGGATCTTCACGGTACTATAGGTCCAAACAATTGTGACAGAATAGGAATAAGTCAATTGAAAACAGTCAAGCTTTGCACCAGGACTATGAGCTTAAGAGTTATTTTTGTCCATTTTGTCGACCGATCATTTTTGGCAGTGCATCAGACCATATCGGAAAACGGCTATCAATCAATCAATCAATCAATCAATCAATCAATCAATCACTCACTCAATCAAGAAATCTCTCACTCACTCGATCAATCAATCATCGTATGAAAGGTCTGAAAGAATGTCGTCTCAAACCCGGGAGGTCCCAAACGGCTGAAAAGATAAGAGGCGTTAGAGTTTGGTGTCATTTTATGCCGCTCGAGAAGACAGTGATAGGCTACACAAGGAAAAAGTTTGTGAACCACTTAATGAAGGTCGTCGTAAAGACCTAACTGAATTCAAAAGCCACGTTATGTCATCCACAGACATAAAAACGTTGACGTACGGAAGAGGATTTACAGCGGTAAAGCTTTGACACAAATATTGCCTGTAAATCAAAGAATGGTAAAGGTGGCGTAGACGTCTTCTCAATTCGTATACAAGGTCTCTGTCTCTGTGGACACGCTCCCGATTGTG